AAGGGTGGTGGGGGGGGTGGGAAGTAGGGTATGTGTTATCGGACTCTGCGTGTCTCAGCTATGTTGTCTCGGGGGATGCAATCCTGTTAGCTATGTATATTACCCATGGATACCAGGTCAATGAACACTGCTCCAGTCTCCCGTGTAGATCGGCTGTCAGAGTTTCCATTGAGTGTATGTCCTCCACTGTCGCAACCCACTGCCGTAAGGTGGGTGCTCCTGGCTGTTTCCACATCTTTGGGAAGAGGGACTTGGCTGCATTGAGTAGCGGTAGCGTCAGGAATTTCTTGTATACTTTCAGTGGGCTGCGGGTGTGGTGTAAGAGCATTGTTAAGGGTTTCAGGGGGGCCTCGGAGCCTGTGATTTTGTGGATTTCCCCTCCAATCTGTTCCCAGTATGGGGCGATTATAGGGCATGTCCACCACATGTGGATGTGTGTGCCGGGGTGTGTGCCGCATCGCCAACATACGTCCAACGTGTTGTCGTGCATGCGGTGTAGTATGTCGGGTGTTCTGTACCAGCGTGTCAGAATTTTATAGTTTAATTCTTGAAATTTCGAGCTGATGGAGCATTTGTGTGTGAGGGTGAAGATCTTGTCCCATTCTTGGGCAGTGAGTGTCTCTCCTGAGTCCCTCTCCCAGTGGTCCTTAAACCTAAGCACCACGTCCCCGCTGGTCTGAGTCATGAGTAGGGAGTAGAGAGTCGAGATTCCCCTGGTGATATGCATGCGGTGCATGCACAAGGTTTCAAAGTCGGTTAAGGGTCTGTGTAGGTGCCCCCGTCCCGGCAGGGCTGAATAGTATGTTTTTATTTGAACTGTTCAAGGGGTGTTGGTGTCCTGTCTGGGCATAATTCTCCGAGTGTTTTGAGGCAATTGGAGCCGTACCACTGGTGTAGGTACATTCAGTTAGTCGGTTGGAATCTGGTTAAGTCGCTGCGGGATAGTGTATCTGCCAAGTCCGGGTTATGTATGATGGGGGTCAGGGGATTGGGTGAGGTGGTGAGTCACAGTCGGTATTGTGTCGCTGTCTATACCTTTAAGGTGGCGTCGATCAGGGGGTTTTTGGTTTTTAAATCCGCGTATGTGGCAGTATGTAGCCACAGTTTGGTGGGTATGTTCCCACCCATCTGTTCTAGTTCCATTGTTACCCATTGTTTTGTGGGGTGTTGTGCGTGCCAGTCCGTGAATCTGTGTAGATGTGCGGCGTGATAGTACGTCTCGATTGAGGGCAGGCCTGCTCCTCCCAACCGTTTCAGCAGTTCCAGTATAGTTCTCTTCGTGCGGGTTAGACGCGAATTCCAGACAAATCTGCGGACGGTGGTCGTTATGGAGCTGAAGAACGCTTTGGGGACTGCGATCGGCAGCAGGTTAATTTTGACTGCGTTAATGCGTCCAAACCAGGATATGTATTGTGGGGCCCATTTTTTCATGTCTGCCAGTATTTCTTGTAGCAACGGGTGATAGTTTTGTTAGTATAGTTGGGACGTGTCTTTGGGTAGCCATATGCCCAAATATTTCAATTTAGTGGGACACCGCTTGAAACGGTATTGGGTGTATAGGAGCGGTGAGGGGTCGTGTGGGCCTGGTAGGTGAAGAGCCTCTGACTTATCCGTGTTGAGCTTGAGGTTATAAATCATGCTAAATTTCTGGAATGAGGCAAGGATGTTGGGAAGTGAGATCCGCGGTAGGTTGAGAAAAAACAACATGTCATCCGCGTTTGCGGCTACCCTATACTCTCTACGATCAACGGTGAATCCCGTGATTTCCCTGTTCCGTCGGACCGCCCCCAGGAAGGGTTCCAGGGAGAGGGCAAACAGGAGGGGGGACAGCAGACATCCATGGCGGGTTCTGTTTCGAATAGGGAAGGAGGCGGACAGTGCCCCGTTGACCCGTATTCATGCCGTTGGGTTCGTGTACAGGGATAGGACCCAGGACAGCATGTGCGGGCCGAATCCCATGTGTGTGCGTGTGTTTTCCAAATATACCCAGTCCACTCGGTCGAAGGCCTTTTCGGCATCCGTCGAGAGTAGGAGGAGCTCCCGACGGTGCATCTGGGCCACATGCAGGCTTTCATGGTGTTATCCCTATCCTCTCTGTCCGGGATAAACCCGACCTGGTCTGAGTGGACCAGGTGTGGTAGGTGTTTCACGATTCTCAGGGCTAGTGTTTTGGCAAACAGCTTGAGGTCTGCGTTGAGCAGGGATATGGGGCGGTAGCCAGCGCAGTTCGTCGGGTCCTTGCCTTCCTTAGGTATCATCGTAACTATGGCCGCCAGTGTGTCGTTGGGAAAACTGTCCCCATCCTGGATTGCGCCAAGACCCCCTAAGAGGTTTGGTAATAAGATGTCACGAAATGTACGCAAGTAAGCCAGTGGGAGGCCGTCAGTGCCTAGTGCTCTGTGGGTTTTGGAGATTTTTAGTGCTGCTGCTAATTCTTCCACTGTGAGGGGTTGTTCTAATTCCTCCTTCATTTTGGGGGTTAGTTTTCTTTCTATGTTTTGGTCTAGGTACTCTGATATTAGGTTACGGCGTTGGGTTTGTGCGGCGTCTGTTGTGGGTTGGGGAATGTTGTATAGGTTGGTGTAATATTCCACGAAAGCACGTTGAATACCATCGAGTAATCATGTTTCAGATTTGTCTCTTGGTTTTATTTTGTGTATATGGCTAGCTCTTCTTCTGTCTTGGAGTTGGCGGGCTAAAAGCTTGTTGCTTTTATCCGAGTGTTCGAAGAAGTGCCGAGCGGATTTTCTAAGGGTGCGTAAGAGACCTTTGGCTATAATGTCCCGTCTCTGCTGCCTAAGCTCCGTCAGTTGGAGAAACTTGTCCTTTTCCTGATTTTGTTTGTGTGCCTGCTCCAGTGTGGCGATTTGTGTGTTTAGAGTGGCCAGTTGTTGTGAGCGTTCTTTTTTACGCTGCAAACATATTTTCATATAATGTCCTCTGATGACACATTTATGTGGATGGTTAGGTTAGGGGTGGAGTGTCTGGGGTGTTGTTAGATTCAAAGTATTGTGTCAGAGCTTGCCTAGTTGGCTCCTCATCGTCCAGGTTGAGTAATAGGTTCTTGTTTAGCTTTCACTGCTGTTATGTGGGTTTGGGTAGAGGGGATTGGATTTGTACTGTAATTGGAGCGTGATCAGAGTCTGCGATTAGTCCTGTGTTTGCCCGTTGGAGTAGGGGTAGGGCCTCTTGTGCCATTAGGATGTAGCCAGGGCCCTCCCTGTAGAGCGTTTACAGTGACCTGGTATAGAGCACTCTCCCTTGGATGTATCTAATCTAGTGTCCAGGCATGTGTTTAGGTCTCCTGCCACGATTAGAAGAACGTCTCTAAATTTGTTTAGTAAGGCTAGTGTTTTAGTCAGGAAGACGTGTTGGTTTCGGTTAGGGGAGTACAGACAGGTGAACGTGTAGGTGTTCTGTGCTATGGTACCTTTGATGAATATATCTACCCCCGGGGTCTGATTTCTGCTCCACGCAGATAAATGGGACATTATTGGAGAGTAGGATAGCTACTATGGCCTTCTTCTTGTCTGTGTGGTTTGCATAAAATCCCGTGGGGTACCGATTATTTTTCATGGTGGGCGCATCTGCACCCTTGAAGTGGGTTTCCTGTAAAAACGCCACCGAGATGCGCTCCATCCATAGTGTGCTGAGTATTTGGGATCTCTTCTCGGGATGTTTAAGCCTCTCACGTTATTGGACCACAGTGTCAGTGGTGTCGGCTTATATTTAGAGACCATCTCTGCTGGCGTTCTGTGAGGAGTGTGGGTGTATGAGAGTGCCTCGGTGTTTGGGGTGTGTGGGGAAGAGGTCCGTCCGGTGTCGGGAGGAGGGGAAGTCAGTCTGGGAATAAGGCAACAGTGACTCGCCTTGGATTCTGTCGCCCTCGGCTGTCTGGTACCCTAGGGATGAGTCACCGCATTGGCCTCCGAGTATATATACAGCGTGAGTCCGTTACTTTGGGTAGGTGGTCTTTCTGGCCTAGGTCGTTCAGTAAAATCATGACGTACCATTCCTTTGGCACCCAGCTCACCTATCATAGCATTTTCTTGATCTGTCAAGTTTCGCATCCACCCCAGGAACCCCACCCGCTCTCGGTGTCCCTCCTTCCCATGGCCAGCATGTGATCCGTCTGGTACGGGCCCATATCCTCCCACCTGTTTATACCTGCCAACCCTTCCCCCCACCCCACCTTCTAAATACAGACACACACAGTCAGACACACAAACACACAGTCAGACACACACACACAGTCAGACACAAACACACACACAGTCAGACACAGTCAGACACATACACACACACAGTCACACACACAGTCAGACACAAACACACATACACAGACACAAAGACACACACACACAGACACAAACACACACACACTCACAACCACACAAACACTCACAGTCAGACACAAACACACACAGTCAGACACACACACAAACACACACAGTCAGACACAAACGCACACACACACAGTCAGACACAAACACACAGTCAGACACAAACACACAGTCAGACACAAACACACACACACAGTCAGACACACACACACACAGTCAGACACACACACAGTCAGACACACACACACACCCAGTCACACACACACACACAGTCAGACACAAACACACATACACACACATTAACTTTTTTTAAAATTTAAATCTCCCCCCCAACCTCCTTACCTTTGGGAGTGCTGGGGGGGAGAGGGTCTCTCTCTCCCTGGTGGTCCAGTGGCTGCCTGGCGGGCGGGCGGCTCTGGCTGCTGGGCGGGCGGCTGACGAGGGAGCACTTCCTCTGAGCTGACTGCTCAGCTTCCTCGCGCGCCGCAGAGTGAGCTTGGGAGCCGGAAGATGATGACATGCTTGAGGCCAGAAGGGCGTTACGCCCACAAACCACCATTCTCAGGGAGCAGCGGATTCCATAAAAATGGGGCTTTCCCTTCAGCCTGCAGGCAAAGGTAGGCACCACATGGCATATTGTCCGATGGCCCGCCGATGTACCACGCTTTTTACGAGCCGCAAGCCTACCCGCAGTAACTGTCTCAAACTGGGTCCTGGAGCGGCAACCACAGCACCCACGTGCTGCCAGCGAAAGTCATAGTTACTGTTACCAGGGATGTATTAGCCGCAAGGCAAACAAGGCATTTGTCTTGGGCGGCATTTTTCAGGGGGCGGCAAAAAACGCCGCCCCCAAATGCCCAGGGCAAACGCCTTGTTAGCCTTGCGGCTAACTGACATCCCGAGCGGGCGGCTCTGGCTGCTGGGCAGGCGGCTGACGAGGGAGCACTTCCTCTGAGCTGACTGCTCAGCTCCCTCGCGCGCCGCAGAGTGAGGCTGGGAGCTCTGGCTGCTGGGCGGGCGGCTGACGAGGGAGCACTTCCTCTGAGCTGACTGCTCAGCTTCCTCGCGCGCCGCAGAGTGAGCTTGGGAGCCGGAAGATGATGACAAGATGATGACAAGACATCATCTTCCGGCTCCCAGGCTCACTCTGCGGC